TCCCGATCCAGAAAGGGGCGCAACTGGCGTATCAGGCGAGCCTGATGAAAAGCCCCCCTGGTCACGGCCGTCACATGATCATGAGGGTCCTGTGATAGGTCTTATGATGGGTCAGATGCAGGTCACATCAGGTGAGGGTCTTGTGAGGGTCTTGTGACAGGAAGGTTTTTTTGAGATTTGTCCCCTCCATTTGAATTATAGGTAAAAAAGGGCAAATGCATAAGAAGGAAAACACCTATCAAAGGGTTTATCAATCCAGCTAGTTTAACAGTTTATCCCCAAGAGGCAACACTGTGTCGTAGAAAACATTCATTAAAAGACACAAGACAGCACATTACAAACATCTCACTTTAGGAATCAGAGGTTTATTTATTGAAATTTAGAACACAAAGCAGTCACATACATACTTATACCCATTGCAATGCATACCACCTTTGGACTAGCAGTCATAGCAGTGACAGCTAGTGCCAAGTGGCCCCAAACCACGTCCAGACTCAACCTTTTATACTTTAACTCATCTTAAACCACAGACAGATGGTCAGCAACCTTGCACTTTCTGTAGATTTTCTGCTGATCATAACTTTCCACATACCCATGTACATCTGAACCTACACCCATCAATTACTTTCAGTTCCCCATTTCTCACAGGTTCAGCTTAGCAAAATCATATTGAGTAAAGTACAGTTGTAATTGGGATTACAAATAGCTCCTTCAGATTGTAAAACTGAGCATAGCACAGCCTTTGGTTCAATACTTTTCCCATGAGGCCTGATTTAGTTCACCTGGGCCTAAACCTTGCATAGAAGAACAATAGCCAGCATTTTTGTTTTCCACAGTCCCCACTTCTTGTCCATAAGGACAATACAAATCATAAGCAAGAAGATAAGATTAGAGGGGCTCTGGGTGAAGGGTCTATAGTCATTTCATAGGGGCAGTTTGTTCCTATGAAGACAACATGGTTGGGTATGGTGATGATTAAACTGCTAAGGAAAAACAGGTCTCATACTAACTCAAATACTTTGGACTTTTCTGCAAACATAACAACATCTTGCTGCTGTTTATTTTTCATATTGGCATATAAGAACTTGAAAATAGACTGTGCTGGTACTTTTGAAGTTGTAATTCTTTAATGGATGGGGTCCTTCAAGAAGTGGCAATGTTTTAATAAGTCTTCTACTTATGTGAAATCCAAAGCAGTCCATGTTATGTTTGGTGCCTCTGAGTGACGGTCATCCAGCTGGCTTTCTGTCTAAGGTGGGAACTTAAAACCCACAATCTCCTGGTTTGTTGCCGAATGTCATAATCATGAGACCAGATTGATTCATATATACACATGCACATGCATGTATAAATAAACATACATGATATTACAACAACTTTGCTTGGGAGACAAAGTGCTATGCACAAATTGACACTAAAACCTTTCTTTCTTCCTTTTCATCTGTCTATTTTAAAGATATGGAAAAATGCTTCAAATGTCCAGAAGACCAATACCCAACCAAAGGAAAAGATGACTGCATCCACAAAATTGTGATATACCTTTCTTACAAGGAACTTTTAGGGTTTACTTTAGCCTCCATTTCTGTTTCATTGTCATTGGTCACTGCTGTCATATTAGAGATATTTCTTAAGCATAGAGATACCCCTCTGGTCAAAGCCAACAATCGGGACCTCACCTACATTCTCCTTATCTCCCTCCACTTCTGCTTCCTGTGTCCTCTCCTGTTCATTGGTCAACCCAATGAAGTAACTTGCCTTCTCCGACAACCAACCTTTGGCATCATCTTCTCCGTGGCTGTTTCTTGTATCTCAGCCAAAACCCTCACTGTGGTTGTAGCGTTCATGGCTACCAGGCCAGGCTCCAACATGAAGAAGTGGGTACGGAAAAAAATGGCAATCTCTATCGTCCTTTTCTTCTCTCTCATCCAAGTTGCCCTTTGTATCATCTGGCTCGGAACTTTCCCCCCATTCCCACAGTTGAACATGCATTCTCTAACCAAGGCCATCATCAATGAATGTAATGAAGGTTCTCCAGTCATATTCTCCTGTGTCCTAAGCTACATGGGCTTCCTGGCCCTTGCCAGCTTCTTTGTGGCCTTCTGTGCTCGCAGATTACCAGACAGTTTCAATGAAACCAAATTCATTACCTTTAGCATGCTAGTATTTTGCAGTGTTTGGGTACTATTTGTTCCAACTTACTTGAGCTCTACAGGAAAAGCCTTGTTGGCTGTGGAAATCTTCTCCATCTTAGCTTCCAGTGCTGGATTACTGGGATGTATCTTTTTCCCTAAATGCTACATTATTCTATTGAGACCTGAGATGAATACTAAGGATCAGCTAACAAGAAAAAAGAATTAGAGCAATGTTTCCTAACATAAGCAAAGTCCAGATATATAGACTATTGGAATCGACAGCAATAGCCATAATGGTGAGAGAATTCTGGAAGCTGTAGTCCACACTTCTTGGAGTCGAGAAACACTGCATGAATGGATTTTCTTGTTTTACCTGTTTTTACTACATTCAGATTGTATGTATAAGATTTGGGGATCAAAATGTTTATTGTATGATCCATTATATTTGTGCAACTTCACCACAGAGCCCTACAATGCTGTCAGACTTCTCCTCTGAGCACTGAGGTGTTTGGAGACAGAGGCAGTGAAGCATCTTGTATTGAAAATCAATAGGGACAGCTGGGATCCTATCCAGAAGAATGTGAGTCCTAAGCTCTAAGCAAGATCACAATTTATATACCATCCACAATGTTATCTAGGACTAATAAATGAATCAATGTAAATCATGCAGTGATCTTTTATTTCCAGAATGTACTAACAAGGCTCTTTTGTTGTTGTTCAGTCACTAAATCATGTCCTACATTTTTCCACTCCATGGACCATAGTACAGCAAGGCCACCTGTCCTCCAGTTTCTCCCTGAGTCTGCCCAAATCATGCCCACTGCATCAATGATACTATCTAACCATCTCATCCTCTGCCGTCCCCTTCTCCTTTTGCCAGCCTGGCTTCTGGTTATGTACATGGAGAAGGAGGTGTACAACATAACCAGATATCAATGCTATTACTAACAGAATAACAGAGTTGGAAGGGATCTTGGAGGTCTTTTAGTCCAACCCCATGCTCAGGCAGGAAACTCTATACCCTTTCAGACAAATGGCTGCCCAATTTCTTTTTAAAAACTTCCAGTGTTGGAGCACCTAGAACTTCTGGAGGCAAGTTGTTCCACTGATTAATTATTCTCACTTCAGGAAATTTCTCCTTAGTTCTAGGTTGGTTCTCTTCTTGATTAGTTTCCATCCATTGCTTCTTGTCCTGCCTTCAGGTGCTTTGGAAAATAGTATGTTTTAGGTTAAGCCCTTTAGGGTTTTACAGGTTGAAATCATGTTTTGAATTGTACCAAGGAACCTGATGGCAACTGGTGCAGAGCCCACAGAATTGATATCACATGATGTTGAGTATTTAACAATATGTTGGCTGTCACATTCTGGAGCAGCTGAAGTTTCCAAATGGTCTTCAAAGAAAGTTCCATAGAGAAAAAAAATGCAGAAGTCCAAATAAAATGATGAAGATGATGCATACGCTGGTAGACAGTGCAACAAAGATTGCAGAGCAATCTTTGGGCTCCTAGAATGGCCCATATTACACCTCTGCTCCATGAAACCCACCTGTCTGTTTATGAGTGCATAAACCTACCTGTCTGTTTATGAGTGCAGTTCAAGGTGTTGGTTGTGACCTTTAAAACCCTTAATGGCATAGTGTCAAGCTACAAAATTTACTGTCATTTGGACCACCATAGTGCTTCTAACTTGCCTACAGTTGCCGAGGAGAGAGGGGAGAGTTTGGGGTCCACAGGTGTTCCCTATCAGTGTGCCACTGAGCCACTGAGATGTTTTGAGGAGCCAAAGTTTCTCCTCAAGCCACTGAGATGTTTTGAGGAGCCAAAGTTTCTTCTCATAACAATTGCTGGAAGATTAATTGGACTATGTGACTTGAACTGTCAAAGAGGGGAGGAAAAAATTTACTCTTTTAACTATCTGTTTCCCACCATATTACCAGAGCTAGTTTATCTTCTATCGTACCGGTGTGCTATGCCTAATAAAGTTTACATTAGAGATTGCAATGTCTCTGGTGTTTTGCTTTGTTGGACTTTTTAACTGGAACTTGACACATAAGTCCATGCTACCTGATGGACCACCTCATTCTGCTAGGACAAGCCTGTCCTACTTGGGCCAGTAGAGAGGGCCTGCTTCAGATCCAATCGCTCAAAGAATTCTGACTATCAAGCCTTCTCTGCTACAGTGCATGCCCTTTGTATAATCTTAGCCACTATGGTAAGAGCTGCCCCCACCCTCCTATCCTTTTGCAAGAACCTGAGGACCTGGCTCTGCCAGTCAGCCTGCAACAGGGAGACTCCACACTGGAGGTAGCCGCTAGATTGATAGCAGACTCCACCTCCCCCTTGCTCTCTGCTCTCCACCCATCCATCTTTTCAGTTGTTATATTGATGTTGTCAAGCACCAGAGAAATCAAAAGATCCAGGCAGTTCAAATGGGTATAAAGATTTATTGCAAGCTTAAGCTCTCTACAAGAATCTGAACTTGAATTTGAAAAGATTTATATTGAAAAAGTTAATGTTAAATATTTGAACCCAGACAACATGTTGTTTACTAAGAACTAAAGACTGTAATTTTTAAAAATTAATAAAACTTTTATTTAAAAAAAAAAGAAAAAGAATCTGAACTACTAATGGTCCAAGCAAATTAGTGGTAGATAAGAATCAATGAAATTCAAGGTGGGCTGGACTTAAATCTCTTATGGGCACAAAGGGACTTGTGACTGATGACATGTTTGGCCCCTACCTCAGGCTCTGTCTGGTCATCTCCAACAGATTATTATTCTTTTTTTTTTTAATTGAAAATTTTTAGAATTTTTACAATATAACTCCCCACCTCCCTCATACCCCACCCTTCCCCACCCCCTCCCTTCCCCCCGACTTCCCAGAGCTACACACAGGGTTTACAATACAATAATTATATTCTGTCTTAAATTATATTACCCTTAAGTTAACAATTCTATGACATCCTTTAGCTCTCTCCTAAACTAACATATTAAACATCATTATTACAAATTATTTAATTTTAATAAAATATACTACATTAACAATCACAAATTT